GCCTCTGAGAACAAAAGGTAGTAATTTCTCTCCCTTAAAACAAAAAGTATCAACTTCTCCCTTCTCTACCCCTTTTCTTTTTGTTTGTTGGCCCACGTTAGTTTCTATTCCTCTCCCTTCGAATAAATTTTACCACTTGTTTATGCCATATTGACCTGAGAAACAAATATTTGGCCTAAAACCTAGACCACAACAATTGCAGACATCTGGAGAGTGAACCAGTGGATGAAATATCTCTATCTCCGTGTGTCCTTCCCTCTCTCCCACTCTAAAACAGATAAATAAATCATTAAAAGAACGTGAGCAAAGCTGCTAAGATTTGGGGTTATCACTTTATATTATCGGAAAACACAGAAAGTAGTGCTTGGAGCGGAACCTTTCAGGAAAGTTTGCAGATTTCAGGGAATTTGGCGACTTCCCATTTTCTGGTCTTTATAGGAAGTCTTAAAAGTGTCAGGTACATGATGGGAATAGGAGTGTAAGTCATGGTAATTGTATTATAATAATGTTATAATAAGCTATAGGTCATCAAGAGAACATGGTCAGCAGCCATATTGGATATTTTAGCAACACTGGTTCTGAGTGGCAGCTTTGCTACACTAGTGCTTTAGGGGTACCAACCATAGGAGAAGTTTTGGAGACAAATCTGGGAGGGGAATGGTAACTCTTTCAGTCAGCCCTCTCTTCACACCTAAAGCATAGGAAGAATTTACTCATCCATCCATTTTTTTCAGTCTAAAAATCATAAATTACACTTATTAATCAAATGTAGTAAATGAGCCTTTAAGAGTTTCCTGGTGGGAATAAATGAACTGTAGAATAACATTTGGGGGACATCTGCAAAGTAAGAGTCCTGACTGGGTATTTGTTGGGATTCAGAAAATAATTTTAGTTAACTACTGTTATGTGTGGTAATCATTGTGCTTATGTTTATAAAGCAAAAATCTCTTTTAGAAACATACTGAAATACTTTTTGTTGGAGTGATATGCCATCTTGCATTTGGATTTAAAATGGTCCTAAGTGTACGCACTGGAAGGAATAAATCATGGAGAAATAGGTAAAACATAATCAATCATAATCGGCAATTGTTGAACTGAATGTTGGTTATGTGGAAATTCGTTATATTGCTTTCTTTATCAAGTATATGAGTATGTTTTCCCATAATGAAATATATTTATGAAGAATTGCTAATTCAGTGCACACCATGTGCCCAGAAACTGGAGACATAAACAGGAAGGGGCCTGTGATTCTGGGGAAACAAGCATATGAAATCATCAAGTATATCACCACTACCTTCTGTGCTTGCTAACAGTATGAACTCAGCGCCATGGGACTGATGATCCTGCCTGAATTGGTCAAGGGCCGTTTTAGAAGAGGAGAGGTTTTATTATTGCCGAAATAGAGTTTACAGGAAACAATGACTTGTTGTACATAAGGAAAGCTTCAAAAGTAGTGGAAACTTTTACTTTGAACATCTGGGATGATGGCATAATTTAAAAGAGGCAGGGAACACAAGAAGAAAAATAGGTCAGGGTGGGAGTGTTTGGCTTTGCATCTACCCAAGTTGAGCTTCCTGTGAAATATAGTAATGTCCAGGAAGTCCTTGAAACTGTGTTCTAGGCAGAAGGAATCACAGCCACAGAGTTCACATGAAGAATGTTTAGGACCCCAGACCCATCGAGTCTCAGTGGGAAGAAGCCGGAGGGAAGGCTGGCCTGCATGGGTAGATGTTCTCCCTGGGAATTAGATAGGATGCCGTAATCCACATGACTCAAATGTGCACAAAATGGAGCAACTGTCGACAGAATAGAGCCCTTTGCAGAAGGGCATTGAGGAGCACGAAGGACTCAGCACGACTTTGAAAACAGAATCATTTCTCGGAAAGGAGCCACTTTGGATGACCGCAGTAAAAGTGGTGAACACTCTCCTTTTGTTGCTTTGGAAATACAAGTGCAGGTTCGCATCATGGGCTCTGCAGTTAATGCCGTTTAGTTTTCAATCCTGGCTCCAAAGTTGCTTAACCTCTTTGAGGCTCCTTTTCCCTATCTGTAAAGTAGGGCATAATAGTTTGTAATGCACAAGTAAATAAATTGACGCATGTAAACTTTGGTATGTAATACACTTTCAATAACATACATTAGTCCTAACAGTAACTTTGGAGAAGGCAAAGGATTAATTACCTTGTATGCTGATGAGTGCTCCGCATTTCCTTCTAAGGATGTTTTAAATTCTGCTGAAGACTTTTCTTGTGCTTAAACAGACAGAAAATGAGATCAGATCTGTATACACAGCATCTGAATAGGCTTTTTAACTTTTATCTTTTTAATGCAGAAAACATCGTCAAAATGTAACACATAACTTTATAAATTAGCAACCTTCTTTTTTAAAATCCATTTTCTTTTTGTTTATCCAGCAACACAAACCGCAATATCCCGCAGTGTTCCCTGATCCACAAAGATTGAGTCAGAATCAAAGGATACGACATTTTAGGAAGCAGACAGAGCTGATCTTGAGTGCAGGCCAAGGTGAGGACAATGTGAGATGTGGGGCAACATGTCACGTACCTAGTAGGAGCATCATGAAGTTTGCAAAAGGGAGGGAGGGAAGAAATAAGTAAGGAAGACTGGCAGACAAGAACAATAGAGTGGAGTGGAAGGTGGGAGTGGGGAAGGAGGAGAGGAGGAAGGAATGAGGAGGGAGGAAAGGTGAACAACAGCCAACACTGATGTACTGCCAGAGCAAAGCCACAGGTTTGCTGAGGCATCTCCTTCCAGAGCCTTCCATCCTTTGTGCCTATTTCGTTGGACTGCACACGGCGCTGGCCTTCAGGAAGCTGCTTAGAGCTGAGCGGATGGTCATGCACCTTCTGAGCTTTGCCGTTGGAAAGACTGGCTTCCTCTTAGACAGTGTGTAGTGGGGCGTGGGGGTGTCTTCTGCCACCTAGAAAGACCTAACTTCTGTGCTTCTGATGGCTTTGAGTGGGGGGGGGGAGGCAAAGTCAGGGCTCCTGGCTGACAGAAGGAGAGAAGGGGACTTTGTAAGGCGCCCCCACTCAGCTGTGCACCTTGTGAAGATCAGGGTCATCAGATTCTAACTGCCTTTCCCCAGCACTGCTCCCCAGAAGCATACTGCTCTGTGGAGTCCTTACATCAGAGAGTACAAAACAGAGTGCCAAAATCCTCCCATCCAATCCAGCTCTCCTTCCAGTTGCCTAGGCAGGAGGACCTCAATCCTGAAGTCAACACTTCTTTTTCATGTCTCACCATACTGAGTACCCCTAAACTGTTTGCAAACAGGCTCTTGTTTCTCACATTCACAAGAGGGAAGAGCGCCTTCCCTTGCCCCTGCTCAGCCCTCAGGGCCCACTCCATTTCTGTGCTTCTTAATCTGTCCACCCTGGACTGCCTCTACTTCAAATCCACTGCCCTCTCCAACGCTGTTGCATCAAATCCTCCCATTTCACTCCACCTACACGGGCCCTAAAAATGTGTGCAAGTGAATATACACTCTTATGAGTACTGCTGTCTCTCAAAAGTCATGGGGAATCTGTCATTTCCCCCCTTTCTCTGGCAGATCCCCCCAACCCTTGGATGCTGAAGTGCCATGTAAATGTAAAATCCCATTGTACTGTATTTGCACACAATCTACTCACATTTTCTTGTGAACTTGCAATCACCTCTGAATTACTCAGATACACAAGGAAACACTCAGAACACAAGGAAAATGGCTGTTCTATCGCATTGTTCAGAGCATAAGGGTAAATTCAGACAGATGCAGTCATTTCTCCGTGTAAGGCTGACTGAGCCCATGAAAGTGGCAGGCCAAGTGTAAGAATAAAGCCGGGGAAATCAATGGGCTAGGACGCAGTCCAGGCTCCGGTCTCTGTCCACCTGCCCAGCCTTGCACCACTGCTCTCCCCAGCTCTCCTGGCTCACCTAACATAATAACCATTGCTTAATTTCAAGACGTCGATATTTGCCCCCCTCCACTTGGCTTTATTAATAAGCTTCCTCTTTCTGGATAGTGTCTCTCCGGCTGTGTATATGCTAACTTGCTTTCATCACTCTCACAGCCCACCTTAAAAACCATTTCCTTCTTTAAAAAAAAACCCACCATTTGAAGCCACCTTTTTTTTGGCTACCCAGGATAAATTTATTTTTTCAAGTCTGTACCATCTCCTCACTGGAGTGGAAGCTCCCAGGTCAAAGGAATAGCAGTGTCGACGGGACTTCACTGTATGCAAAGCGCCTGGCACAGAGCTTGGCACAAGGCGAGGCCTCAGTAAATTGAATGCTGAGTGAGTTGCCACCAGCCGCTTTGCGTGTCATCTCTTTTTAGTGATGTAACGCCTTCAGGAGGGTGGCTCGGGCTTACGGAAGGGGCTGCTCCTGCTCCCAGCGGTTTGCTACTCAGGGGAGGGGTCCTCGGACACCAGGGGCAAGCGCAGCCGCCGGTGGAGGCGAGGTGCGCTTCGGCCGCTCGCGGCTTCGCGGGGAGTGCGCAGGTTAGCGAGCCGCCAGGGAGGCGAGACGCCATCCCTAGCTCCACTCTCTTTGTTTCTCCCACCTCCCCTGCCCTGGCCTTGCTTGCCTGCAGTAACTCGTGACTCCCCGTGGGCCTGAGGAGCCTGCGGCGCTGGGGGAGGGCGGATGCGCCCCCAGCCCGCTCTCCTCCCGGCTTTCAAATCAAAGCGGGTACGCCTCCTCCCCGCGAGCCCGCGCCTTGCAGGAGCCGGGCTTCTCCCCAGGCGGGGGCACGTGGACTCGCCGGCTGCGTGGTGAGCCGCCCCCACCTTGCGCCCAGGCGCGCGCGCCCCGCACCGCAGCCCCCTCGCCGCGGGCAGAAGCCGGGCTGCTGCGACGCGCGCCCCGCCCCGGCCGCGCCCGCCCGCCCGCCCGCAGCCGCGCTCCCTCCCTTCCCGCCTCCCCCGCGCGCGCGCCTCCCCTCGCGCCCCTCCCGCGCCCTACATCCAGCGCCCGGCCGAGGGGGCTCAGTCCGCAGCCGCGCCGCCGCCGCCGCGCCTCGGCCTCGGTGCGGGCAGCGGCCGCAGACGCCGAGACAGCTTGCGCGGGCGAGCATCCCCAGGTAGTAAGCTCGCGTCCTCGCCCCGTGAGCGTGCGTGCGTGTGTGCCGCCCGCCCGGCAGCCCGCGTCCCGGGAGAGCCATTGCCCTCCTGCCCCGCCGCCCCGCCGCCCGGCCGCCCCGCTGTCCCGCTGCCCCGCCGCCCGGCCTTCTAAGGCTAGCTACCTGCGGCCGCGGGCCTCGGCCGCCTCGCCAGGGCAGGGGGCTGGGGACGTCACGGGCTGCCGGCTATGGAACCAGGCTTGGGAAGTGCCCTCGGGTGGGTGCCCGGCCTCCCCTGGGCTTTCCCCCCCCAAAGGGCTGGGGGAAGGGGGATTGCATGGGGGCGGGAGTGAAAGGGGAACGTTTTATGAGGAGGTGGGGGAGTGAGGAGGGAGAGACGGGGGGGGGTCTCGATTTTCTCACCAAGAATGGCGGGCAGTGGGTGTGGGGCGAGGTGGGGGCCCCTCTTGACAGAATTTTCGACAAACACAGCTAGTGGACCTTGGAGGGAACCAGGAATGCCAAGTGGAGGGGGTCCCTTGGTTTTCTCCATTAAGGATGGCAGGGGATTGACAAGGGGGTGGTCGGTCTGCGTGCGTTCCGAGCTAGTGGCTGGGGTGGGGGACGGGAGAGAGTGGAGGTGAGAGGGCTGGCTTGCCGGTAGGTGTTCGGGGATGTTGGGGGGTGTGGTTGAAGAGTGGGGGTGGTGTGTGGAGAGAATGCAGAGGCTGGGGGAGGGCCCGCGCTGAGTCTCTTCCCCCAGGGCCTGGCGGGGGTTTGGCGGAAGGAGGGAGGGTGGGGAGAAGGAGGGTTTCAGCATCTGAAGAACCTGGAGAAGCCCGAGGAGGAAGGTTCCCTTGCGGGGTTGAGGCTTCGAAGGCGGATTTTCAAAACTGCAGGGTGTGACCTTTCTGGCGCGCAAAGCGTGAAATCCTTACAAGATAGGTTCTAATCTAGGCTCTGGGAGAAAGGTTTCTGCTTTCGAAGTTTCTATTTCTCTTCCTCTCCACCTGTTCCTGGCCCTTCAGGTCTAGACCGAGTCTCAAAATCAGCTAAAGACAACGGAAAGACTGTGTGGGGCGTGTTCAGTGCTGTATTACTTTCTGCGTTTCGCAGTTTTTGAAAGGGCAAGACATAGCATCCGGAGCAGGTTGCTTAGCTTCCAGAAGAGCCGAAATAGTAGAAACAACGTACATCTTTGCCACTGGAGTAAACGTGGTCCCTTGTACTATTTAAATAAGTTCATTGGGATTATCTCAGCCTCCTGTGATTTTGAAGTTGGAATAGATCCAGTTCTCCTAATTGTAGCTGTCATTTTGTAATTCTTGCCTGGGTTGTCAAATCTATGGCATGGCTCTAGAACACTAGGAATTTCGTTATCTTGATGGAGACGGGTTGAATATCAATGTTATGTTGTTCTTTGGAAATTGGTTGAGCATCTGCAGAATAGCACACCTGTTCATTATGGGGCCCTGGAGATTTTGCACAGCCTCTCCCCATTCCGCAGAGTGAAGAAGCAAGGGTTGCTGGCTTGGAGGATCGTTGCCCATGTTTGCTTAACATGAACACACTTCGAGGAGGCATTGGCCTGCGATGTAGCAAGGCCACACTGCTTTTCCATTTTAGTTATGTAAGGTTGCAATCGAGTCTTTACGTAGAGTCTTTTAAGAATTCTTGTTTGAACAGAAATGATCATTTCTGAGCAGCAGAAATTTGTTCTGTTGGGCCACAGTGTGTGCAGAGCACCCCACAATAAATAGTTCAAGACCACCAAGGAGATTTCAAAATTCTAAGCGACTGTTCCAGTGTTTTAATTCTCAGAGAAGGAGCTTTTTTCCCAGTGAAGTCTATTTTTTTTTTGGTGGAGCTTTTAAAAAATGGGTAACATTTAAGTTGCTAAATTTCTTTTGAGTAATACCTGAACGTTGAAATTAGCACAAATTAAATTAATTGACCGCTTAACACTTGATTCAAGTTTACTGCTCAGGATAACCTATACATTGCTTCCACTTTTCATATGGTAGGCATGCTGTGCATATCTTTAAAGTTTTACTTTTGTGTGTCCAAAACAGAGTGGTGAAGGTAGTTACTTGGCTACACAAGCGTGTTGGTAGGAAGTGGGCCTGGGTTTGTCTAGACAAAGGACTGAATGTGGCTTTTACCTGACTTTCCAAGAACCTACTCTTCCTCTTGTGGGCGTGGAGGGGCACAAGATGAAGAGATTTCATAAATTAACAAAAAAAATTTGTTCCAATGATATAATTTGTAAGTTGGTTATTCATGTAAGCGATTGAACTCTATGTCTAAGTCTGGCCATTAAAAAAAGCAAGCTGGCAGGTGGTGGAGCAGCGGCAGCAGGGCAGTAGCGTGCAGAACTGCCCCTGGTTCCCCCTCTCCCTACAGCCCTCCCTTGCTACCCTCTCCCGTGCCAGCAGCATTGGCTTTTATAACCTGGTGGGAGTTGAACTACTGTTCCTTGTTGCTTGAACTTAGGCCTTATCTGTTTGGCTGCTTTCCCTCACTTGTGCCTATAATTATTTTGTTGTTCACTGAACTACCCAGTTGCTTTAGGGTAAAAGGGAGATGACTGTAGTAACTGTCTTAAAATTTCTCTTAAAAGATTTTTTCTTTGAGCTCCTATTTGATGACGACAAAGAAAGCTTTTTTTTTTTTTTGTTAGAAGAGTGCTTAATTGAGTAGAATATATTAGCTCTTTCATTTGTTTAAGCATTGTGTTCTGAGTTTTCCCTCCTCTGTGTTGGATACAGAACAGGTAAGAAATGGATCTTGACATTTTGGTGCAGTTACCGAAATGGAAAACAATGGGGCCTGTGCTGAGGGGGAGGCTAAGTTGCCAGTAACACTGCCATCCCATTACAATGCTGTTTCAAGTCGTGGCTACCCTGTTGTGATCCAGCTCTTTGCTATTGCGCTACTGCCATGTGCGAGACTGAGCGTTCTGACTCCTGTGTGTGGTGTGACCCGGCCCTGGCTGTGGGGGCCATTTTGATACTGAAACGGAGGTTAGAAGAAATCTGTTTTTTCTCCCTCCCTTCCTTTACCCTGCCATTTAATTTAAAATAAATAAAAGTTTTAAAGAAAAACTGAAAGTTGTGTATAATCAGGAGTTGAAGTCTTTTGGACATTAACATAGAATCTTTATGTACATTAAATGTGATTCAACCATGCAGTGAAATGCTTTTTTTTTAAAGATTTATTTTTCTTTATCTGAAAGCCAGAAAGGCAGAAAGGGGAAAGACAAAAAGGTCTTCTATCCATTGTTCACTCTCCAAAAACCTCAGTGGCCAGCCAGGGCTTGAACCAGGTCAGAGCCAGGAGCGAGGAACTCCGGCAAGGTCTTACATGTGGATGGCAGGGAACTAAGTCCTTAGGCCGTCTTCCACTGCTTTTGCAGCTGCATTAGTAAGGAGCTGGATTGGAAGTGGAGGAACCAGGACTGAAGCCAGTGCTTCCGAACAGGAGGCTAGCATTGGAAGCAACAGCTTAACGTGTTATCACTACACTATCGTTCCAGTGGAGTCAATTCTTTCAATGATTTATTTACTGCTTAAGTTCTATGCTTCACAAACTAAGACATTTCTAGTGAGTGGACACCCTATATCTTTACATTTTGTATTCAACCAACCATTCATTGGAAATATTTTGGGAAAGAATTGCTTTTGCACTGAACAGGTAACAGACTCTCTCTGGTTACTGGAACAGCTTTCCTTGTCAGTATAAATAGCTTCTTTCACAGCATTGACATGCATGAGATATTACAAGTACAATAGGGATGACTTAAAGTTTATGGGAGGATATGCCTAGGTTATTTACAAATGCTGTGCCATTGTAGACCTTTGAGTATATACAGATTTTGGTGATTGTGGGGCATCCTAACTAATTCCGTGGGGATACTGAAGAAGGACTGTAATATGGCTTATTAGTTATTTTTGGGTGTATGATCCTTTTACTTTTTATTTTTGTTTATTTATTTATTTGTTTGAAGGATGGAGATCCATGCTACGGCCGCCAGGACAGGGCCAAATTGAAGCCAGGAACCAGAAGCTACCCCCTACCCCTCAGGTCTGTGGGGAGTGCAGGAAGTCAAGTACTTGGAATAGCATCTGTTCTTTCCCAGGAACGTCAGCAGGGAACGGGATCAGAGATGCAGATTCACTGGGCCTGACACTGGTGCTCTAGTGTGGGATGTGGGCATCATGAAACAGTGGCTTAACCTGCTGCATCGTGACACCTCCCTGGTTTTTGTTTGATTTTTATTTGGAACGTAACTGGGCATGTAAGAAAATTTTCTGATGTAGTAAAACTCAATAGGTAAACAGGATGTTACAGAGTACCTGGCTTACAAGAGAAAATTGGAGTGCAGAGAAGGGAGGAGGGAGATAACTTTTAAAAAAAGATTTATTTTTATTGGACAGAGAGATTTATAGAGAGACGATAAAAAAAGATCTTCTGTCCGCTGCTTCACTCCCCAAGTAGTTGCAAAAGCCGGAGCTTAGCTGATCTGAAGCCAGGAGCCAGGAGCTTCTTCTGGGTCTCCCATGTGGGTGCAGGGTCCCAAGGCTTTGGACCATCCTCTACTCCTTTCCTAGGCCACAGTCAAGGAGCTGGATGGGAGGTGGAGCAACTGGGACCCAAACCAGCACCCGTATGTGATCCCAGTACTTGCAAGGTGAGGATTTAGCACGTGAGCCATAGTTCTGGGCCTGGAAGAGAACTTTTTAACTTAGGCAGTGGCTGGGAAGTCTGCATACCCCATAGTGCTGAGCTGATGAAGACCTGGCAGAGGGACCTGTGTGTTGGATAAAAATTGTTTGCTATAACTTCTGTGGATGTGCTTGCTGATCAGACTGATGAAAAGTAGTCTGCTTTAACTGTATTTACTGAAGCTAAGTCCATCTCTTGATTGGACAGGTAATGATTTCTCCCACAGTGCATATTGATGGAATACACTGTGATAATTCCATATGCATGTATAGTGTGTAAATCACTTTGATACAACG